GTCATTTAAATACAAACTTTCTCTCTCTCAATTTATCTCTTCTCTCCATCACGATCTCATCCCTCTAAATTCCCCTATTTTCTCTTACTAATTTTCTCTCTCTTAATTATTCTTTCATTAACTTTATCTTTCTCATTGATTTTTTTTTTTTAACTACTTTCATCTACCACATACTCTCCCACAATTCTTTCATCTTCCTAACCCCCTTCCAATTATCACATAGCCTCTCCCAATCCTTTCATCTTCCTAATCACCTTCCAAATCCATATATAAATATGTGTCCTCTCTTTCTCATGCCAACCAAAAATCAAGAGGTGGTGGATGGAACAAAGTGGAAAAATTTCCAAGTGGTGTGAAGGTATGAAAATTACTCTCTTGCTTTAGCAACGACAACAACAATGCACATATGGATGATCGAGAGAAGAATTGATAGTGAAGAGAAACCAAATTAAAGCTGAGTTGATGACATCAGTTCACTTTCCCCAAATTTATCATTGTTCAGATTAAAAGAAATTCTAGAGTACGATGTGTCGAGATGGTGGTCGATGAAATCGAGATAAAGCAAAATTCGATTATTCTCATAATTTGGATAATAAGAATGCTTATGAGTTTGATTTTTATTTATTTATTTTTTAAACTGATGTTTTTGATTTATATATGTGAAATGTTGTAATTATTTTTACAAAGTTAGGGCAAACAAACAATTTTTATCCCTCTCAATATGATCAGGTTGGACCTTTTAGGGTTTACTCTTTCTCTCACTCTTACCTTTCTTTTTCATTCTAGAATGAACAAACTCAATGATTTAACGTCATACAATTTAACAAAGATAAAATGTAATATAATAGTTTATAATCAAGAAAATTAGAGGTAAATTAAGAACGTTCATTCATTAAAAAAAAAAACTTGCACGTTGGTGCTTTTTCATCTTTCTTACTCTTCAAATTTGTACTTACTTTCCATGCTAATATTTCATCGTCTTCTTTTATTACAACAATATCATACCTTGAATTTATATTTATATATAATCACTTTATTTCTTTAAAATGATAATATTATAAACTTAAAAAACACTATTTGTTTACTTTAATTTAGAACTACAACATTCTACGTGCAAGACACGTGTTTCTTACTAGTATTAATAAATTCTAATTTATTTAAAAAGAGTGAAATGCTTATTTATTTTTTAAAATATTTTATAAATATCGTTATGTTTCCATCAAACATAGATCGATTCCAACTTGAAATTCTCTATTTACTAAAAAAAATAAAAACAAAACAAAGAAATAACATAAGGAAAAAAGAAGAAAAGAAAAACCAAAAAGGAAGAACAAGAAGAAAACAACGTGGGGAAAACTCCAAAGTCATGCTTGCTAATATTCTTAGTCATGTTTTGTCCAAAGTGGACAAATGATGGGACTACTTCATCCTTCAACCCTAAGAAAAACAAAAAGAAAACAATAATTTCAACTTTATAAAAGAAATTGATGTTTCTTATTTAGTAATATATAATAATGTAGTTTTATTAAAAAAGAAAAAGAAAAATAATGCTAGTGTGTCTTTACAATTATTTTTTTTGAAATTTTTATCCCGCTAAAATAAAAAGATTGTTTTAAACAGTTTTGGTTAGCTAATTGGTTTGAATGTTAGAAATAACAATACTTAGTATTTACTTGTCAGTACCATCATCGTACTAACCACTCAAAAGAATTTGACAGTTTTTTAGTTTTTGAAAAATAGAAAATATATTTCTTTATCTATATTTTTTTAAAAGATTTAATAGCCGTAAGTAAAAAAAGATGCTGATCGGTAAACACTTAAATATTGTTATCTTGAAAATATAGATCATAAATTTAAAAGTATTTGACCAAATGGATTTATTTTAAAAAAAATAGAAAAATCGAAAACAATTCCCTATTTTCACTTTTGAAAAACTTTTAGAAGTTGACCGAATTTTGGAGGAAAAAAGAAGTTTTTGAAAACTATTTTCTTTTTAGTTCTTACGTCTTAGAAACTCTATTTTTTAAAAAAAGAAAAAAATAGGTCGTAATTTTTTTTTTATTATGTAAACATGATTTTTAAAAAATAAAAAGGAAAAGGAAAATTATTATTGGGTCACTGAATTGTCATTTGTTAAACAGCCACTGACTTTCTTTACATAGGAAAATTTAAATTGGAGTCTTCCCCGTTTTGCCCTTCAACTTTTTCAACTTTGCTTTATTTTAAGTCCATTTCTGGGGTTTTGTGCACCAAATGATGCATTGTTCATCACTATAATAAAAAATCCAATTATTGGAGGAAAATATAAACATTATATATTACAACACCACTATCCTTTTTGAGTCCTTTTATGTCTTTGTATAATGATTTCAATGATTCAATTTTGATATTTATATTTGGCTTTCTTTTTTTTCCTATAAAGAATAAACTAAATGGTTTGAAATATTAAGTCATATTAAAGCCAAATATTTCCATTTGAGATATTATTGAAGTTAAATTAAAGATACTCTCATGATTTACGGATTTGGTTCGAGCAGATCGAATTCAGACACTTTTCTCGTAAAAGACAAGTTGATTCTTGATAGAAAATGGGAAAGTCTTCCATCTCGAACCTTCCGAGATGGAGCTCTCTAAATCGTTCTTTCGGATTTTCCTGGATGGCCAATCCCTGTCCCTCACGTCGCAGTGGGGTTTTTCCTCCCAAACAGAACACAACATTGGTATGGTGGAATTTAGATTCAAATATTGACCAAAGGAGAAAGAAAAATTGAAACTTCATATTTAAATCTGACTTCAAGCTTCAAAATGGCTAAGTTAAGTGGAACTTTTAAAAATTTTAAAAATTTAGATGCTATTTGATAATAATTTTATATGAAAAAATTGTTTATTTACAAAACAACCTCTTTTTTTTTTTTTTGAAAGAAAAACAACCTCTTATCTAATTTTTTTAGATTCTAAAAAGCCCTTTTGAAAATTTAACCAATTCTATGAATTTTATTCTTATTGAAAAACTTTCCTAGGATGATACAAAAATGATTTTGAAAGGAAAAAATATAAGTTAGTTAAATTGTTGTGACAATAAGCAATTTTCTTTTATTCTTCTTCTTGTTTTTTTTTTTAAAAAAACCATATAAGCATAAAAGCAACCAACAAAAATTTCTACCAAATAAACTTTTTAAACATAGAGAAGATTCATCAATTATGCATGAATATGGCAATATCAGCCTAGTTAAGTGGTTTGACATTTTTTTTCCCAAAAAAGATTGTAGGTTGAATTAACTTCTTCAATCTCTTTAATATATATACACATATATATTTTTTTGGGTAATTAATATTACAATTCAAACCACATGTCAGATTCAAATTTAAACTTTTAAGAGATTAATTATTAACGTGTTGATCAAATTAAGCTATATTTAGATCTGATCGATAAATTTATGATTTATAGAATTTTAAAAATTTTAATGTTCTAGCAAATCAATATTTTGAAAATATAATCTATTTTAACAAACCAAAATCCACAGCTGAAGACATTTTCTTTTTTACAAATTGCAAATTGACAAACCAAAAGTAAAGTACTGGGGAAAACACATTTGGTCCTTGACCTTTAGTCTTTGAATTTGGAGATAAAATACATATATTAAAAATACATATAAAATCAAATAAATTTTATCGAACTCACCAAGCCTCACCATCCCGTTAGTGATACTAACATAAGTTTAACTTCAAGGACTTTTTAGAATCATTTCCAAAGGTCGAGGACGAAACGGTCACTTTTTGAAATTCAAAGACCAAATAGAAACATATCTCCAAACAGACTAAAAATGTACTTTATCCTAAATTATATTAACCCCCATTTTTGTCGATCCATTCCTTTGCATGGTATAAACATGAAATTTCTAAATTTAGTTTATGTGAATCTATTATTAATTAGAGGGTTGATGATGTTGATGTGCGATTTCGCCGAGTTGAAATGTTATTAGTGATCCTACATAGACTATGACATGACTTCATTGGCAACCTGCAAATTGAACCTCATATTGTGAGTGCTTGACAACGTACTCTTCGAAACTTGTTAGTATTTAGTTCGAGTTGGTATTAGTGAAATGCAAGAGACTTTGTATCTTTGAAAATGTGCAACTTTGCCATTTATATGAGAGAAAATCGTGACTCAGCCATGGCAGCTACCTTATCTATTACTCAAATAATGTTTTATCGTCAGTTGGAAGATCCTCTAACACAAAATCATCCTTATATCAAATCTTAGCGGATTTCTTACTGGTCATAATCTTTCTCGAGTTGGAGTTGAGCCAAGCTCTACTTGAGAATACATTGGCCCCTCCTCTTCGTCCTCAATAAGTCTAAATTGAGTCTCAAACATACGTCTTTACGAAGGAGGGGTACGTGTTTGAGTTTGTTTCGACCCTAACATAAATAGATTCTCATTGTTTTTCCTGCAAACTACTTTCTATTTGACATTATAAAGATGCTGAAGAGAAACCCTCCGCTCAAAGCCAACCAGACAGATCAAGAAAGGAAAGAAGAGAAATTCCTCAAAGCTAGAAACTTCATTAAGATTTGACCATTACCAAATTGGTGAACACCTTCAAATGAAAGTTCCCAACAGAAAGAAAGGGGGAAAAAAAAAGAAGTTGAAACTTAAAATCAATCAAGAACCACCAAGTGGGTTTGAGCTTAGTGCCATTTTTGGTTGGACAGAAAACAGCTTTTAGCCAATCCAGCTGAGTTATTATCTGAACTTTTTTTTAATCTGCCAATTTCAGAGAGAAAAAAAGTCTGTGGGGTCCTGAAATAAAAAAACACTGCCAAAAATGATTCAAAGAGTAAAGTAAAATAAAATGGTTCAAACTAAAGGTGATCTTTTCCTTTTTGAAAAAACAAAAGTTTCTTTTTTCCACCCAAAATATTAAAAAAAGAAAAGAAAAAAAAGTACAGAACAAAGCCTTTGGTTTGCTTGTGAAAGTCAATGTCCTTTCTCTCTGTTTTTTAAGGCATTGTTTAAAGGTTGGCTGAGAAAACTTGAAGAAAGACAGCTCCCACAATGAAATTTTAATGCTCTATTCATGTATTTAATGGAGGGAGGCTCTGAATTGAAAATGGTGTAAATGGGCATTTAATTTTGAGGGCCGATTGATCAATTTCTGTTGGGGTTTTCTCTCTTTTAATTTGAGTGTCACTGAAAGATTTTGGGATCCGGGTCCTCTGTTTTTAGGGTTTGACTCTCTGATATTCTTGTTCGTCTCTGGTCCCTCTTTCTTTGGGCATCTTGACTTCCCAAATTTTCTTGTGGGTGTCGATTTTTTCGTCAAATTTCCTTGATGGGGATCTTAGATTTGATCTGGGTTTTAAATTTCGCACTGAACCAGAGCTGGCTGAACCGCCATTGCTGAGTTCAACTCAAGTTCTGAGCCTCTCTTCATTTTTTTGAGGGATTTTCTTTTTCCCTTCCGAATTAGTTTTGATGCATTATTCACTATGGAAGCCGCTGTCTCACTGCGCGGCTTTGATTATGGATAAGAAGAGTAGGAAGAAAGATGGGTCCGATTCGGCGATTGAAATCAAGAAAAAGAAGCTGATTCTTCGAAAACTTGAAGAACATAAGCTTAGAGAAGCTCTGGAAGAAGCTTCGGAAGATGGGTGTCTCTTCAAATCACAGGACGTGGGCTCTGACCCAGTTCCCAGCTTAGGCCGGTCGCGATCGCTCGCCAGACTCCAGGCCCAGCGCGAGTTTCTTCAGGCCACAGCCATGGCGGCCGACCGTACATATGAATCGGACGACGCCATTCCGGAGCTCCATGAAGCTTTCTCCAAGTTCCTCACAATGTACCCGAAATATGAGTCTTCTGAGATGATTGATCAGCTTCGCTCCAATGAGTACTCCCATCTCATGAAGGTATGTCTTGATTACTGTGGATTTGGGCTGTTTTCTTATGTTCAAACTCTTCATTATTGGGAGAGTTCTACGTTTAGTTTGTCTGAGATTGCTGCAAATTTGAGTAATCAAGCACTTTATGGTGGTGCTGAGAGAGGGACTGTAGAACATGATATAAAGAGTAGGATTATGGATCATTTGAACATCCCTGAGCATGAATATGGCCTTGTTTTTACTGTGAGTAGAGGGTCTGCTTTCAAATTGCTGTCTGAATCATACCCTTTTCATACCAATAAGAAACTGTTGACTATGTTTGATTATGAGAGCCAGTCTGTGAATTGGATGGCTCAATGTGCGAGGGAGAAGGGTGCTAAGGCATATAGTGCTTGGTTTAAATGGCCCACTTTGAAACTCTGCTCGACCGATTTGCGGAAACAGATAACGAACAAGAGGAAGAAGAAGAAGGATTTGGCTGCTGGGCTGTTTGTGTTTCCTGTTCAGTCTAGAGTGACGGGTGCTAAGTATTCTTACCAGTGGATGGCTCTGGCGCAACAGAACAATTGGCATGTTTTGCTTGATGCTGGGTCGTTGGGTCCAAAGGACATGGATTCGCTTGGTTTGTCGCTTTTTCGCCCGGATTTTATCATAACGTCGTTTTATAGGGTTTTTGGGTATGATCCAACTGGTTTTGGGTGTCTTCTGATCAAGAGATCGGTGATGGGAAGTTTACAAACTCAGTCTGGGTGTACTGGCTCTGGAATGGTGAAGATAACCCCCGAGTATCCCATGTACCTGAGTGACTCAATCGACGATCTCGATGGATTGGGTCGAATTGAAGATGATGAAGTTGCTGGGGTTGTGGATCAAACGTTTGAAACTCGTCAGGGATCACAACTGCCTGCTTTCTCTGGTGCCTTTACGTCTGCTCAAGTGAGAGATGTATTCGAAACTGAGATGGATCATGGTAACAACTCGGACCGGGATGGAACAAGCACCATATTCGAGGAAAGTGAGACTATTTCTCTTGGGGAGGTTATGAAGAGCCCAGTATTCAGTGAAGACGAATCGTCAGATTGTTCGATTTGGATTGACTTAGGTCAGAGTCCGCTAGGATCTGATAATGCAAATCAATTGAATAAACAGAAGATTGCTTCTCCCCTGCCCCAGTATTGGTTAAACGGAAAGAAGAACAAGCTACTCTCACATAAACCAAATTCTAAGATTCACAGTCATCTGACATATGACGATCACAAAGATTTTAACTCAGGGCCTTATGACGAGCACCGTGTACTATCTTTTGATGCAGCTGTCCAGTCAGTCTATCAGGAACTGGACAGTGTCGAGGAAGTTCCCAGGGAACTATCTGCCGAAACAAGTGCCACATCGGTTAGTAGTGAAAAGGATTCCGATACCAAAGTCATTACAGAGATCCATGAAGTAACAGAAACTAGGAAACCACTTTCCAATGGGTCCTCAATCAATTCTACACTAAACAATGGATTTCATCTCAGCGGTTCAAATTCCACATCAGAAATATGTTCAGAGGTGAAGGAGAGCGCCATTAGAAGAGAAACAGAAGGTGAATTCAGGTTGTTGGGGAGAAGGGAAGGAACTAAACATGTTGGTGGAAGAATTTTTGGTTTGGAAGAGACTAGTATGCAGAGCCGAGGAAGACGAGTTTCTTTTAGGATGGAAGAGAATGGTAAGGAGCAGTTAAACCATAACGTCGAGACCGGAGAAGTATCAGTGACTAGCCTAGACAACGAAGATTATACCAGCAATGGAGAATATGGTGATGAGGAAGAGTGGAACAGGAGAGAACCTGAGATTATATGTCGACATCTCGATCACATAAATATGTTAGGCCTGAACAAGACCACACTCCGGCTTCGATTTTTGATCAACTGGCTCGTCACGTCATTGCTTCAACTAAAATTTCCCGGTTCAGAAGGAAGCAACAAAGTGAACCTAGTTCAGATTTATGGACCAAAGATAAAATACGAAAGGGGAGCAGCAGTAGCTTTCAATGTGAGGGACAGAAACAGGGGACTAATCAACCCAGAGTTTGTTCAGAAGCTAGCTGAAAGAGATGGCATATCTCTCGGCATTGGATTCCTTAGCCACATTCGGGTCCTGGACAGCCCGAGACGCCAACACGGAGTGTTAAACCTCGAAGATTCATCCCTCTGCAGGCAGACCGAAAATGGCAGGCGGGGGAAGAACGGATTTGCTCGGCTCGAGGTAGTAACGGCTTCGTTAGGATTCTTGACGAACTTCGAAGACGTTTACAAACTGTGGGCATTTGTGGCCAAGTTTCTGAACCCATCCTTCATCAGAGAGGGGGCACTTGCTCCTGTTGAAGAAGGTTCTGAAACAACATGAAGTTGAAGAGAAGCTATTGGTGAGATTTGTTCATATGGTGAAAGAATCAAATTTTTTTAATTCCTTGTTATGTTTATAATTGGTTAGATTTTAGGATCTGTTTCCTTTGAGAATCTTGTAGAGGGAAGCTCTGGAAATTTGGCATCTTGAAGAGGTCATGTAAAATTTTTGGCTACTCCATATTATACATTAGCCATATATTTAATTGAATGAAGCCTGTTCTTGCTCACCTCGTCATTTCTTGGGAAAAGTTCAAATTTTAAATATTAATAATTTCTAACTGTTTAATAACGATGAAATGTTTATTTGTTATAAATTTTTCAAGAAATATTCATGAACATTGACATTTTATCGATATGTTCATCGATATTTTCATAAAATTGAGACTTTAATATTTCCATTTAAAATTTTGGTTGAGGGTGAGTTTGATGTATCCGTTAATTTAGGTTTTTTTAGTAATCATCCCTCTCAATTGTGTAAGCTATATATCTTTCCATTTAAGTTTACATGGATTTATTTTTACTTAAACTTATTATCAAAGAAAATATTATCTTAATTAATGATGAAGTGGTTTTATGTTTTATATACCCTAACAATTCTCCCATTAAATAAAAGACCACCTAGCCTCTTGTCAAATAGTCGATGGTCTAATCTTCATGTGTATTGAGAGCGTTCTTATCAATGGAGCATATTGTTATTCGAAAGAGCTCAACCATAACTCACGTTGTGAGAAAACTTATATTGACCATTCCTTGTCGCACCCTTTACAATCCTCTACTTACACCACAAAAGGGTTCATCCATAAACCATACACAATCTTCTACTTACATCACAAAAGGGTTCATCCGTAAACCATATACGACTGCATTTTCAGGCTTATCACTCCTTTTGTTCGACACCTAAAAATTTCATCCATACGACTAAGTCTAGGACATGTCTTGGCTGCAGAACTGGGACAACAAACCTCTCCATTTTTTGCCCTCAAATTTCAACTCCAAATCTCTCATTTTAAAAGTATTCACAACAATATTAGTATATACAATAGAGTCTTTACCAAATTTAGTAGTAGCTTTCACATCTTTATAAGACTTGGACAAAGAATTTAACAAGATATTACAATGATTGTTTCAAATATATTTTATTTGACAGTGATATTATTTGATAAAGAGATTATTATGTAGTTTACCTTGTTGGACAAGTGCAAAAATATAAGGCAGATGTTAGGAAAGAACTTTTCAAAAAATCAAATAAGTTGGAAGTTTAATGTCTTGCTTAATTAAGAATTAGATTAAATATAGGATAATTATGGTGGGTAGCAAAAATATTTGATGTATTTCAAGAAATGTACCAGCTTTTCAAAATTTCAAATATAGCAAAATTTTTGAATTTTTATTTTCAGAATTTTTATTATTCTAATTTTACCTTTATGATATCTGATGTATATTGTCGCAACGTCATCGCGATGCGGAGCGGCCGACGTCATCYCTTGAAGGGTCTCTTTCGAGATAAGGGTTTGGAGTCGCCACCAATCATCTACGAGGTGTGATTGGTAACCTAAAAAAAACAAGGTCTGCGAAAACAGATTGTTGGTTCGGGAGTCGACTCAGCGTAGGGAAAGTGTTAGCACCCTACGACACCCGGAAAACTTTGTCAAAAATTATCCCATTATTTTATTTGGTCCAAAGAAAAATGTTTTTATTTTATTTTAAATGTCTCATATTATATTAATTCACATTAGTTAATAGGTATGAGTGGCACGAAAGCCATTAGAAAAATTAAGACTTGAACTTGCGACGTGAGTGTTGACACTAAAACATCACACCAATGTGCCAAAGAAAAAAAAAACTCTAAATGGGTCATGTACATTAAAAAACAAACATCTTACCACTATGCCAACATTTAAGATGTAAATATTATATTTTTTTACACAAACAAAAGTTTTAATTTATTTTTTTAACTAAAAAAAACTACGAATTTTGTTAAATTAAAACAAAAAAAAATATCTTTTTTTTAATTATTTCGAAATTAACAAAATTATTTAAAAGAAAAAAAAATTATTTAAAAACAAAGTCAAAATTTACTTTAACAAAACTTATTTACTAAAAAAATTGTTAAGATTTTTTCAAAACCATAACCACCAAACCATTAAAAGAATTTTAAATCAGATTTTATTCTAAAATACTCTGTTTTTATCTCCTCCTTTAAAATCCTGCAGCAGAAGTTTCTTTTTTAATTAAAAAATAAAACAAAGGTAACACAAAAAATATAAACCTTGTAAAAAAATTCATTTTAAATAAAAACTACATTTTAAATAAAAAGAATCCAAATTTAAACTTTGAATCGAAATTTAAAAGAATCCAAATTTTTTTAAACAAAATTAATTTTATAAAACTCCTATTTTTTCAACGTATTTTAACCAAAATTTTAAAGTAAAATATTTTATTAAAATAAAATTAAGTTTATATTTATTTCATTTGAAAAACTCTTCTTTATTAGAAAAAGAAAACCTTTTATTTTAAAACAAATTTTAAAATATCAAAATCTTTATTTTATTTTCAAAAACTTATTTAAATTAATTTAGAAGATTTTTTTCCTTACTAAAAACATTTTCTTTTTAAAAAAAAAGTAAAAAAAAACATTTTCTTAAAAAAAACATTTTTTTCTTAAAAAAAACAAAAAAAAAAAATCTTTTGATAGAAACAAAAGAACCTTTTTCAAATTAAAAGCATGATTCTCAAAGTCTTTCCCTTTCCAACCATACTTACTTAAAATGCACTATCAGAGGAGATCGTCAGAGTGTCAGCGGGTTTGGAAGAAGCTGTGAAAAAGAAGATTGTTGCTGCTGTCGTTCGCGTTGTTCCCTTGCGTCGTCGGAGGTCGTGGGTATGCAAGAGAAAAGTGGTGATGGTGGGATAAGAGAGATGGAGAGAAGAAGATATGGTGATGAGGTGATGAGTTTCTAACTCTCTGCACCATGTCCTGGTTGTTGTGTACTTCCTCCCCTTAAATACTAAAAAAAACAACGCTGATATATGCTAAAATAAGAAAGCCAGAGGAAAGGGAGGAAGGAAGGGGGAGGAGGAGATGCCACGTTAGGTGAGGAAAAAATCAAAAAGGAAAAAAAACCTTAAAAATCAAAGGTTTTGTTAAAATAAAATTTTATTTCATTAAAACAAATCATTTTTATTTATCTATTTTTTATTTTAATAATAAAACAAAATCTAAACGAACCATTTTTATTTTCTTATTAATAAAATTAAACATTTAAATAAATCTAACAATAAATCTAACATTTTAATTTTAGTTAATTTAAACTTTATATTAAAACTAATAATAAAGTAAACCTATGTTATTCTTAATTAAAATAAAACACAATAAAGTAAAATACAATAATATAAATTAAAATTAAAATTAAAATTAAGTCGGACCAAATACGGTGTCTACATATATCAGAACATTCCATTTGATGTATGATATATACATCAGATATATTTATATCTAATATTCTATCTGATGTATATCATACATCAAATCTATATCTGATATACATCTAATGTAAATTTGTATATGATATACGTCAAATCTATATCTAATGTACATCCGATGTAACTATGATATACTTCTGATATACATTTGATGTATCCTTAATATACAGTATTAGATCTACCATGATATACATTATCAAATATACCACTGATATACATAAAAAATGTACGTATTATACATATAATATATATATGATATACTTTTAATTTATGATATACTAAATATATTTTCAACTGATATACTAAATATATTTTCAACTGATATACTAAATATATTTGCAACCGATATACTAAATATAAGGTATATGAAATGTTTAATTTTTAGTGGTATATCAGTTGTTTAAATTCTAGTTTATCATTTCAATTTGTTGATCAATATACTAATATTATGAATAATGTTGATGACTATATCACTGCTATTTATTCAATATTAATATTAATTAGATACTAAATATAAGAGATATCAATTGTGTAAATTTATAAAGTATATCAAAAATTTAACTTGTCTTTTTGGACGTGCATGGTCCACATCAATCTTTTATATAATCTTTATATTTCAAAAATAAAAAAAATAATAAAAAAATCTTGCACCATTGTTTTCATCTGAAAAAAATATTGGATATAATATCATGATATCAACATACATATATCATATTTATATTAATAGATATACTAGTTATATAAGAGGTATATAAGTGGTAAATTAGAAGCATATTAAGTATACATCGGTGTTATATTAATGGTAAATCATATAATCATATAAAAAGTTACATCAGTAAATACCATAGTTATATCATTGGTATATCATTTGTATATCAATGATAAATTAGAGACATATCAAATATATATCACATATATATTTATTGCATCAGTGTGGTAAATCAATGATTATCATACGTATATCAGTGGTAAGACTTGTTAGAAGTTGAGTAGATATCATGGTTATACCAGAAGTAAATAAATTGTATATCATTATTATATCAGAGATATATACCAATAGTTAGATGTATTACAGATATATTAAAGGGTAAATTTGTAATGTTTAGCAGAAAGACGGACATTCCTTGCACAATTGGACCTCCATTTTTTCTGAAAAAAATACTAATGTGGTTGCTATTTTGCTTATTTTAGTAAAATTTTTTGCCATATTTGGAAGTGTCCCTTTATATATATATATATATATATATATTTAATTTTTTTTAAGGAATTAGATTAAAATATATTTAACTTAATAAAATGATTTTTCGGGGCTATCTTATCAGTGATTTGTAAATATAAATGAAGCCATGTGAACAAAATTTCAAATACTATTGTAAATGTATAAGCATCAATATACATTGTAATTTGAATCCAATCTTATACCTTTTTTCCACCAATAAATTAACTATATTGATAACTATATTTTTGTCTTTTGAAATATTTTTAGAAGCTATCATGTTGAAAATTGTAATTTTATTAATCAGAGATTTTTTTTTAGTTAACAACCGTAAAGGCCAATAGAAAAACCATCGATGTTTGAATTGTTAATAGGTGCCTTTGTCTAATTATGGTTAGATTGACTAGTAACCATATATTTTATATTCAAGGAGAATTACCAAAGAATTATAATTAACATATATATATGTTGGTAATCTAAATAAAATTTGTCAATTCGAGCATAGCTCAAGTGGGATAAGGCTCCCACCCCACCCTTAAATAAAACTTAATTATAGATTTAAGCGTATACGAAAGTAAAAGTATATATCATTAAAATAAATTTAATTAAAATGGGCAGAATTAGTATATACAAAACTTGATGATTTTTAATTTTAGAATTCAACCATGTAGAGTAAGATTCATACGTCTAAACATGTAATCACAGCTTGAGTTATATTTTGGTTTGCTCTTCGTGTTTGGGAAAAATTAAAGTCCAAAACTTAAAAGTCCTAGATCAAGTTTTCATTTCAATTCAAGAGAATTAATATCAAAGAAGCGGAAGCATACGCTCATCCATAATTGAACGTTGTTGAGTATGTTGGGTTCGATCTCCCAAGTCTAGAGAATCACGAATTAGCCTCGATGGATTTCAACAGTATGGAGAAGAAGGCGTTTTCACTTTTCTCTCTCTTAAGGGATGAGAGAAGAACAGACATGATCCCTCTTAATTGGGGACCATAACCCCTATATAACCGATCAAAAACTTTGATATTTTCAATTTGACCCCTCATCAAATTGGAATTTATTTCATGGTATCTATACATTTTGTCCATACTCAATTTATATTACTCCTTTGAACCAAAACTTACACATAATTAGATCACTTATCTTCGTCTAATTAAATAGCAAAAACACATTAAATTAATACATGTGTGGTCCTATATTATTGAAAATTACAACACCGCAACCATTATATAGTGATCGAAGATTGTAGATGATAAATAATACATATAATATAGACAAACATTAATCCAGACCATAAACTTAAGTAGCTAAGGCAACTATATTACCATCTCGAGGATTGACAACTCAAAGTCCACGGCCCCACCCTTCCAATGGTTGAATTGAAGAGAAAAAAAAGGTGCGCATGTGCTTTAGATCTTGGTTCATTTGGTTAATGCACTCTCAAAACATCTGTTTTGATTTTGCACTTTCAACTTTGATTCATTTTAGTCTTTATACTATCACAACGTCGGTTTCGATCCTTGAATTAAAAAAAAAAAGAAATTTTTAACTCATTTAATTATACCGTAAATTTAATAGTCACTTTTCAAGAAATAAATAAATCAAAACCAACCTTTTTAAAGTCTAGCAACTCAAATCACAAAATTTGAAAAGAAAGGGACTGAAATATCCCATCAAACTAATATTTAAACTGTAAAAATGCATTTAAACCTCTGAAAAAGAAGCCGTCGACTCGACTTCCTCGTTTGCGATTCTTCAATAACGTTTATGGAACAAGAAGATTATATATTCATCCACAGATGCACTTAAACCTCTCAATTCCCAATAACAGAAAAACGTTTCTATCAAGAAATCATTGCCATCAAGATTTGCCTCAAAAACCCCATCAATAAAATTGATTCTCTCATTCAATCAACTCTCTATACATTCTTATCTTCCCTTCCATAGTTGCTGCACCATTTCAACAATTTTCACAAAAATCACAATCTAAAACCTTTCTCCGCCGGACTGCCATGGCTTCCTCTTCCCGCCGCCACCCGCACCGCGGCTTTACGTCGGCCACGCCCCATTTTTTCAAGGTCATTCTCCCTCACATCCTCACCCAAAGAAAGCTAGTAAGTACAAACATGATCACCAAGAACATAATTTGCATTTTGTTTTGCCTTTAATTTCTTTTGGGTTTTGTAAAGTTTTAAACTTTTTTTATCTTTCATTTATTTTCAGAATGTTCCAAAGAAATTTGTTTCAAGACATGGGGAAGCTTTGCAAAATGAGGAGGTGTTTCTGAAGGTGGCAAATGGGGCAGAGTGGAAAGTGGGAGTGGAAAAAAGTAATGGAAAAGTTTGGTTTGAAAAAGGGTGGCAACAATTTGTGGAGTTTTATTCCATTGGAGTTGGCTACTTTTTAACATTCAGATATGAAACAAATGCTTGCTTCCATGTTACAATATTTGATCCAAGTGCTTCAGAGATTGAATATCCAATGGAAGATTTTGGGGATATTAGAAGTGAGAGTGAAGAATTTGAAGATCAAATATTGGTTTACAAGAGAAGAAGAGAAGGGAAAATTACTCAAACAAATTTGTATTCTGTGGCTCATCATAAGAAGATGAAAATTAGTAATGATCATGATGAAGTGCTGAGGAATGAAGACTTTCAATCTTCCAAATTCAAAGGTAAAACAAGAATAATATGATTGATTTCCTTTTTCTTTTCCTCATAAATGTTATAACAAAAACAAATCGACCATCTTTCTTTAAAAAGGAAAAGAAAAACACACATATAAATTAAAAGAGGTGGACCTTATTATAATTGCAGATCGTTTGAAAGTCATAAAGTGTGAGAATGGTCTCAGATCAGTTACTGAGAGAGCTTCAACATTCCAATCAATGACGCCAAATCATTCTTTTATGATCACAATGGGGCCTTCATACATTCACACCGGCAAAGGTGATCCGGTAAGAATGTAATAGCGCAAGTGATCGCTTTTTTTTGTCTTGAGTTCAACAACTACCGGATGAGGATCGAACTATGCATCTTTAAAGGATAAAAGGGGACTTTAATTTATTCACATTTTTGTATTGACATTGACTTTTGAGCAGAACATTCCAAAAAGCTTTGCAAAGATCCATGTGAAGAAGTCCCAAGAGATCAGTCTTGAGGATTCAGATGGAAGGGTTTGGAAAATTTGGTGTGGTGTACGTCCCTCTCAAAATGTGAATAAGAGTGTTGAAATGAGGGGTGGTTGGAAGGCATTTGCTAGAGATAATAGCTTGGAAGAAGGCCATATTTGTGTTTTCGAGTTAATGAAAGGTACTAAATTATCATTCAAAGTTACCATTTTTCGATGAAAAATATTTAAGTACTTACCGACAAGTATTATTTTATACTGACCATCATTGAATTTTGACAAGTAGTAGATTGGGGATAAATGCAGAAAAATAAATATTTTTTATGTTTCCAAAAAAACAAAAAACTGTCAAATTTTTATTGGTGATTAGTACAGAAAAATATGGATACTAGTTACTGGTAAGTACTTAAATAGTGTTCTTTCTTTGATTGAGTTCTTGAGATTTGAGAATGAAAGGATAGTAAATGAAGGCGATTGTTGAAGCTTGGGATCATGAAGGCTAGAACTTTTATTTTCTTTACCCTTTTCCTTCTTCAAACATGTATTTGTTGGAATTGAATTGTAGGGACATTGATGTAATTTATGGATTGTTAAAAATTTGATTTTTTTTTTTAATTAGAGTCTTCATATGTGTAGCCTATAATATGTTTCTTTTATTTGTACTCTTATGTTATTATTATATTTAATCTACTCCCCATAGATTAATTTTAATTTATATAAAAAAAAATTTGCACTTTGGGATATAAAAACTTAGGAACACAACTACAGGAAATTTAGAGTTTGGGAAATCTAGAAACCTTTTAGAGGTGGTTAAAGAATTTAGGGTTTTTTTTTTCCTTCTAGTTATTATTCATGTTGGCAGACTTCATGACCTTTTTTTCTACTTAATTAATCAATTTGAATATATATGTTAGTTTTGTAATCAAAGAGAAATTAGCCATGTGCTTTGTAAAATTGCGAGTTTTGTTGTGTGGACTAAGATTAATTATTTATAATTCATATTTTATTAGGTAAATTTTAATTTTTGGGATAAAATACATTTTTGTTCTTAAAATTTGTTTAGTGTCTATTTAGTTGCTAAAATATTAAAATAAATACTTTAATTTCCAAGATTGAAAATAGTTTTAGACGGTCTTTGGACCAATAGTTAACTAATGAAAAAGTGACGTGGCAATTAGATGTTAATTGTAATAATTTTATAATTCATACCTTGCATAATAATTATTATCTGGTAGGTAATTAAAATTACAAATGTTATTCCTCCGTATTTGATATAAATTTGAGATTAGTTGGAAATAAATAAAATTTATATTTTTGTCATGAAACAATCCCTAATTAGATGATACCCTTGGAATTGGTCATCATATTGTATTATCATACCGTTTTCTCGTTTGAGTTCTTTACAAGTACGTACAATTACAGCTTGATCACTTCTGATCTTTCTAGATGTGTATTTGGGACGGCTTTTTTGATTACAGCAACAATAACGTCACCAATATGAGCATATCATCGATTACTAGCCCCTATGATTCGAATACACATCAATTCTCGGGCTCCGCTGTTATCCGCTACATTCAAAAGGGTTTGAGGTTGAATCATATTTTTTTTTCATCTCTTCTGTCAATGCAAAGGGAAAAGTAAAAAAAAAAAGAAATATTGTTTGTCCAAGGTCTTAGTGTATACGAGTTCTTGAAAGTAAAGGAGCAATAACCAATTTCTTGTTTTCTCAAGAGGATTGGTATTGCTCCTTTATGATGAATAAAGTTTACATAAGTTTTTTNAAATTAAAAAATCTCAAAACCCCAAAAACTCGTCCATTTTCGAAACCCAACCCTTTCTTCTTCCTCATTTTTCTTTTCTTCCTCCGACTGTCGGTTTTCCTTCTTCCGATCATCAGTTTCTCTTATTCGATCGTTCATTCCTCTTCTCCGACCGTCTGTCTTCCACTCCGGCCGGCTCTGCTTTTCTTTGTCGCAAGAGCATTTCATCTCCACCGCCTTCAAAAAGAGACTTCGGTCGGTTCTTATTTTACGGGCGTTTCTACCTACCTTCGTCTCCGGCTGACGTTTGCCTGCCTTCATCTCCGGCCGCCTCCATTTTTCTCAGTCGCCAGAGTAGTTCATCTCCATATGGAAAGGTTTACATTTCAACGGATGTTTTCAATTTCAGATTTGGTGTGAAATATTAATGTATATGTGAGGATATATAGCATAGTATAGTGATTTGATTATGATATATCTTATAACTCAACTTATATATATATATGGATATGTGGATATATATTATAGTGATTTTGAATGTATATATGTGGATATATAAGTGGATATATCTTATAACTCAACTTGTATTTGTATATATGCGGATATGTGGATATATACTATAGTGATTTTAAATGTATATATGCGAATATATGTTTATTGAGATTTCAAAAGGTTTATGTGATTTTGAATTGCCTTTGAAGATTGAGTATCAGGGAGTGAATTAAGGGGAAATTAATCTTTTTGGAGGGGTGAATTAAGGGATTTGTGTTGATTTATGGAATTAAATCTTTTATATTTTAAAAAACAAATAACTACAATAAATGTAAATGCAAGGGTAAAATCGAAATTAAAATAAAATCCTATATGCAAAAATCTAAAAGTGTAAAATTAGAAAAATTTAGACGTAAAATAAGTTTCTAAAATAGCCACTGGTAGGGAGTTTCATAATAGAACGTCCCCTTCGATCCCCTCTAACAGTGCGTAATTAATTGATCATCTAACATCGACACCGACACCGATTGATTATCTTACCGGGGCTCAATGAGTGAGCACCTTTGGATCGATCCTCGGCATATAAATGACAATATGGTGGGAACTAGAAGATCGGAGAAAGAATCATAACTTCTCGCTTTCTCACGCCCTTATTAGAGTATTATCGTCGACRGCTTTCGGGCAGGGACACCAACGCCTTTTGGCAACATTGATTTTTGGAATTTTCGAACTTTGCAGCCCGATTTCTTACCCCTTTTACTCGGAATCACACTATTTTAACTCCTATAGCGTCTCCAACTCCCGTCGAGCTCACCCTTACTTCGCCTCGAAAATATGATGCATGTATCGCTGAACCGGACGTTGCACTTTCATTAGTTAGCCCGACCTCAGGTTACCGGACACGTAGGGCACTGGCCTTGGTTTGCCCACCAACGACTTTCCGCTTGGGAAATACACAACCACTTTTTCTGGGGTAGGACCCTGACATTATCTCTATAAATTTCAATCGATTGGATTGAATTTAGCAATATTCAAGAATAATCTTTATTGTTTAATTTGTGTAGATAAACACCACTCTCATGACACATTTTGGTCCACACGAATATCTAAATATTCCTAAATTCAGCCTACACTTATATTTAATTCTTAATCTATAATATTAATGTTAATTCAATCCCTGGGGTGCAAACATGTCACCTTATTAATTTATAGGAGCTCTGCCCTATTTTTAATCTTTTGATTTTGTTCATTTTTGTGCATCTACTTTTAAAAAGTTGATCTTGTTCTATTCATTTTTAACCTTTAGTCATTTATTTTTTTCTTTTGTTTTTCTTATTTATTTTTTATTTTTATTTTGAAGATACGACTTTTGTTCATTTCAAGCATCGGATTTGTTTTGGTCCTTAGATTTTTAAGAAGTGACTAATTTGCACTCTATTCGTAAAATTTTAACAAAAATTGTATGCAGGATGAAAATTTTTAATGCAAATTTATGACTATATTTTAACAAATTTAGTAAATGTGTCAAAGTACAAAGATGAAATCGGACATTTTTAAAGTACAGAGATTGAAATAGACATTTTATAAGGTGGTGGTTGTCGGACGATTTGTATTTTGTAAGGAAAAAAAACGTCGGAAAAATTTTCAATTCTTGTAGGGAGGATAACTACTAATATAAACCTAAGACAACAGGAAGAGGACAATAATAATATTTAAACATTAATTAAACTTTTTATTTTAAAAGATATTACAAGATACTTCGTTAAGAAGTATGTGAGGAATATACAAAAGAGATATTATATGAAAGCACTTCATTTAAGTGATATGGTAGAAATTTCGTAATTACAAAATAGAGAGGTCTTGAAAGACCAATTAGATGCTGAAACTTTGATATCCTCCCAAAGATGAGTGAATGGCGAATCACGATAAGATAATATTCAGTGATTTCGCTCCAACCAAATGTGTCATAAAAGCGAGCTTACTGTAGAATACCAAACGATAGTGTGGCTGGATTTCGATGAAGAAAAAAGAGCCTCTAATATGTAAGAATCAATGGAGTCAGGGAGCACGATTGAAAGCCTAAATTCGAGCTCCAAAGAATATGGGTAATGTAGAAAAAGGTGATCGGGGACTCATTACTCTTTTATTTGAGAACACACGATTGAAGGGGAGAGTTTTGATCCGAGATTGAATCCTATCGAATGTATTAAAACTTGTTTGATAGATTGAAATAAAAAATTAAAAAGATTAAGACAAATTAAATCAAATTTACTCTCTTTCTTGGTTACTTAATATATGGATCACATATGGTGTGTATGTTTAGTTTAGACAAATTATTGTCTGCAGAGTGCAGTGTGTTCTTCTTAAATGTTCAGATAATGCCTATACTCACTCATTCCAACAGATAATGGCTTTGAAGGAGAATGATGAGAGATAATTAGTGTGGTTGGTATAATAATTAATTAAGCTCATATTTTTGCATTTCATTTCGCTATTAATAGTAATACACCTATTTTTCATCTACCAACGCAATCGCATGATCATATGATACATATGTCTATTTTGCTACGTCTTGTAAATTCTTTTTGAGGGAAATTTAAATATGTCTATAGTAACTAGATTTTATTCGCGAAAAAAAAAATTATGACAGGAACATTTTATGATGTACGGTAATTGGTTCAATTCTTTGGAATATTTGGTTAAAGAGAATTAAAAATAAGGAGAAAACTTCCCTCTTCTGGAATAAACTCTTCTTCAATTCATGCGTGGTCCACTTGCATATAAACAAGTAGATTTTTTAATTTTGTATAATTTCTATGTGATCAACTTGTTTATATGCTACTGTACCATATAGAAATTCAAGAACTTCCTCCTAGGACAGGGAAGTTTTTTCTAAAAATAATTCATCATTCTCCAAAGTTTGCGTACATAATTCGTTTCTTTCGAAACGGAAGCTTCCTCTTTTTTTTTTTAATTATGACATCTTTTAACGAGTGAGTTTCCAATTTTTTTTCTTGTCATATGCAGGTGCATGCCCCTTTTCTTAACCGTTATTTTTCTTCTTTATAAATATTTTATGCAAATTAAGCTACATGAAAGAATCTTCAACTTACCACTTTGCCATCTTCGATGATAATATCAACACAAAGTGAATTTCGATCGATATTTCTAGAAAAATCATAAAAACAGAAGAAAAGTATGAAAAACGCTCCCCTTCACTTTCTTTCTTTGCTGGACAGGAAGATGCTGCTTGCTTTGGTTCTGCTTCTGCGGTGACAAAAAGCAAAAGTTTTAATTTTCATATGAGCATTCCACTATATTTTGAAATAAAGATAAAAGATCTTAATTTCATTATTATATAATATGTTCAACTTAGTAGCCTTGTCCATATCGAATTCATAATTAAATGTATTTAATTATAGAGAATGTAGATGAAAACGTTTAGATGTTGACAAAAACATTTAATATCCTTAGCCACCCAACCCCGAGTATAGCTCAATAATTTTTCTTTTTCTTTTCTTTTTAACACAAAATATGTAGGAGAGGGAGTTCGAATTTATAACCTATAGTAGAAGATGGGTACCAATTACCGCTGGCAGCTCAACAAATCACTAACAAAGAAAAAAACTGATTTAAAAAAAAAAAAAACTTCCCTCTTGAATTTCTAGATGGTCTAGAAACATACAGACGAGTGGATCACGCAAGAATTATGAAAAAAAAAAACACTTGTCTATATGTTACTAGACCACGTTGGAATTCAAAAGGAACTCCCTCCTCAATTTTAGGGGAAAGTTTTTTCTTTATTTAAAAAAAATAAAGAAAAAGAAATTAAAACAACTGATAGTAATTAACTAAACAACTGAGCTTTGTCTCTTGCATGTAATCAAACAAAGAAGACGATCCGTCGGCCAACTGCATTTAATAAGAAACGTTCTGAAATTCCCATTCAATGAAGAAAAATCAAAATCATAACCCTGAAGATTTGCCTGAAAACGCCATTAATTCTCCATATGAACTACTTAAACCCCATCCATTATAATTTCTTCACAAATCACACCCAAAAAAAATACATTTCTTCGCCAGCAATGCCTTCTTTCAAGTCCCCCACTCCCCATTTCTTCAAAGTCATTCTCCATCGCACTCTCCAGCAACAAAAACTTGTAAGTCAAATTATTTTCCTTTCTCTCTCGACTCAAAAAGTATATGGAGGAATTAAGTAAAAGCAGTTCAGTTTAAAGAGACGATAGAAATGTGACAGCCGTTTTTATGTCCTCCCACGGACTTTCCTTCTCTCTCTTTCTATTTTAGGTCTAAAATGTTTTCCATTTTCGTTGTTTAGGAGATCCCAACAAAATTTGTGAGAGAATATGGGGTGCAAGCCTTGTTAAGCAGCAAAACGTGTCTTAAGGTGGCCGATGGCCGAGAGTGGAATGTGGGTTTGGCCAAAAGTGATGGAAGGGTCTGGTTTGATGATGGGTGGCAGAAGTTTGTAGAGTTTTACTCCATTGGATTGGAAGACTTTCTAATGTTTCGATACGAAAGGAAACCTTCGAGCTTTCGTGTCGTCATCTTCGATAACAGCACTATGGAAATCGAGTATCCTGTGAAGAGAATTCGTCTTGATAGAGCTGATGGAAGGGTGAAGATGGAGTCGGGTTCGGATAATCTTGACCTTGTTTTTTGCTCAGAAGGTTTGTTTCTTCTTTCATGGTAATTGGTTATTGTGTTACTGTTTTTTAAGGTTGTTTTCCAACATTTAAGACTTTATTTATCAAATATTAGATTTTGGTTCTAAGGTAAAATGTTTTATTCTTTGAATTACTGTCTCTATCTAACTTAGTCTATAAAATTTTGATAAATAAAATTTGACTATTCTACATACCTATATTAGTAATTAAGGTAATACACATGCATATATATTTAACCAGAAGATATTTTGAAAGTGTAAATAAAATGAACTTGGGAATTTGACCAAAATGAAAAATTTTCGACACTTCGAAAACAAAAAATCAGATTTAAACTTTATTTTAAAAAACCTCATTGTGTTTTCCCAAAACCACCTTCATAGAGAAAGCCCTAGATTTCAAAGTTGGCCAAGACAGCTCCGATGTCGATGGAAAATCGATGAACATCAAGCACGGCGGGAGGAAGCTGCCATCCACGACGAGCCAGCGAGAAAGAGCAATGGTGAAAGCAACTGATTTCCAATCCACAACTCTGAATCCTTCTTTTGTGTGCAAGATCTGGCCTTCACACCTCCTATCAGGAAAAGCTCTGGTAGGTCAAACGCTTCTTCTATAAGTACTTTAAAAAAAGTGTTTTTATTAGATTAAAAGTTATCCCGTTATCCCAAACTCACTTACGCAAATTTCTTTTTTCGTGGAAGCACGTACCGAGAAGCTTCACCGAGATGCATTTGGAGGGGCCCGTAGAGGTGATTCTTGAGGTTTCAGATGGAAGAACATGGAGGGCTCGTTGTGGTATGTACTATTGGAATAATAGAACTCGGAGGATGGCTGATTTGAGAAATGGTTGGAACAAATTTGCTCGCGACAACAAATTACAAGTTGGTGATGTTTGTGTTTTTGAGATGACCAGAAAGAACAGCAGAAGAATCTCTTTCAAAGTTTATATTTTTCAAGCTTCTTGATCAAGCAAGATCACTTGGTGGAAAAAAAAAAGCTTTTTAATAGCTAGAAAATTAGAGGTCGGTTTTGGATTTTTATGATGAATTATAGGTATGTTTTTGTTATATGTTGGATGTTGCTTTATCTCTAGAAGATCTGTGGAAATTTTTGGTATGAATGTTTTTTTTGTCATGGTTTTGCACATGACGTGAATGTCAAATCACGGGTTTTACTGGTAAAAAGTGTTAAAGATTGGAGGTTCAAATCTCCACATTTTTGTTATAGTGTGTAATTTTTTTTATTTTATAAATTAAAATTAATCTATGGTGAGTAAACTAAGGAAGCATAATGTATATAAGAAATTAAAACAAAAAGTTGAAGAGTACTATTCATTCAAGGCAAACAATAGATCATAGGCTATATCGATATCAAAAACTTAATCAAGAAAAGCAAATTTAACTACTTATTGTTCATATAGGTAATTCAAGAGACGGTGAGTAAACCTAATTTGTCAATTTGAGCAGAACTCAATGGATAACATACGAGGTTAAAAGTTTCAATCTACATTCACACCTTTTGAACTAAAAAAACCTTAATTTATATTTTTATGGAGGCTTAATTGATGAGATTTTTTGTACTACGCTTTTATGTCAACCTGACAAGGTCATCATAGTGAATAAGCACATTTTAACTTTGAAAATAGTTATTTATATGAAGTAAAGATTGATAGTGTTGCTAGCGATAAATACTTTTGTGTTTAAGTCAGTATCAGACTTATGTGAATAAGCATAGCAAAATGTAGGGTTTTGTAGCGTATCGGAGTAACTGCATCCTACAACATTTGGTGTCTAGAACATTAAGAAATAATTAATTTCTAGGGCAGATGGTTATCATGGATTTGTACTCATTCCATTTCAATTAACCCTAGTCTTTTTAGACTAACGAGTCACCCATGACATGATTATTATAATTAAACCATCAAACAACAAGATTGTTATAAAGTTTTTGTGTTTTTGCCAAAACGAGCATAGGTAATTGACATATATCTCCAACTAAGAAGTTGTGAGTTCGATCTTCCACCCCTACATATTGTACTAAAATAAAAAAATTTTTGTTTTCTTAAATCAAAATGTTGGAATACTAAAAATTTTAATGGTTAATATTATAGTTTTTAAATTTAGTAGAATTAAAAATTAGGTCAAATTGTAACCATTTCTAATTCTAATTAATCCAAATTAAGGTTTCGGTTTCTCTTTCAAAAAAAATATATATAATTCTAATTAATCCCAATAGTTTACTAGTAATATTTAAAATTCTCCCAACATCAAAAATCCATTCATGTTGTTTTTCAAAATTGTAAGGAATCGAAGAGGAATTATATATAATAACAACTGCTAGACTACTCATTTCTTATTTCTAGCCAGAGTTGTAGGCGGCAGGGATTTTAGGGCTTATGGAAGGTGCATGTTAAGGCTAGATCAAGGTTAGCTTGCCTGCAGGCTCATGATCGAAAGATGGAACATGCAAAGTCAATCATGCACCAGTCGTGTGAACCGTTGGTCCTACGCAATATCTCATAATGAAATCCATAACATATTTTAATGAATTGTTTTACAATTTTACTCTTTTCTTTGTTTAATACTGCTAGTAATTGTTCTTCTAATAAAAGTTTAGTTAATGTGGTATTATTATAAAATATCACAGTTTTCTATTTAATTTATGATCAATTATTTAAGTTTAATTATTTTAATATCATTGTTTAATGTCAATACAATTATTAAAATAGAATTCACTTTTATTAAATTTTACAATAATATTTACTAATATTTTATATTATTAAAGAATAAATATTTTATATTAGTGATGTCCATTCTAATAAAATTTATATTAATATTTTTTAGCTGATATAATTTAATTTAATTATTTATTATTTTCTAATATTTAATAAATTGTTATAATAAAGGTACTGGTAATAAAATAGATAAAAATTTATTATTGTTTTAATTAATTAGGCAAATTTTTAATCAATGTATTTGTAATTAGCTAGAAATTAAAAAAAAAACAAGAGTATTTTAGTAAGTGTTGAATGTGAATGTGAACAGTAGCGTTGCCAAATGTTCTTTGTTCTTTTTTCTTATTTCTAATTTTATTTTTTTTCATTTTTTAGAAACATTCTCAAAATTACATAGAAATTTTGGATAGAACATAAACAAGTTTTTTTTTTCTTCTCTCTATTTCCAATTTGTTCAAACATAAATAAAGGTCTTGTTTTATCATTCTTGAATTTTACGGTGTTGATACTCATGCAGTTCTATTTTTTTCTTCATTTTAAAAACAAAATAGAAACAAAGTATCTGAAGGTTAACAAACGAATCCTAAAAGTATTTGGGATCAAAAACCAATATGATATATAACTATTACTGCACTTACTTTTAATTCTTAATTTATAAAATCCAAAAAAATGTAGTGCAAATTAAATTAAATCTATCATATTTCTTCATTATTTAATGGTGTGTTTAGTTTATGACAGTTTTCGAGACAAATTATTCTCTGCGAGTGCAGTGATCTCTTCTTCTTAAATGTTCAGATATGCTTTGGAGGAGAATAATCAGAGAAAACAAAATCAGAGATAATTAATGTGGTTGGTGTAATAATAATTATAATTAATTAAGGTCTGCTTCAAAAAAAAAATATTTAATTAATTAATTAATTAAGGTGATATTTTTGCATTTCATTTGGACATTAATACATCATTTTTTCATCTACCAAGGTGATCCAAGCATTAATTTCTCTCATACGATACATATTTTTATTTTTATTTTGCTAAGTTTTGTAATTTTTTTTTTGAGGAAATTTTTAATGTGCAGCAATTGCCATAACATGAACATAGCTTTTTTCGTTAGTGAATTTGAGCTCGGCTGCTCTTTTTTCCCTGTTTGTTTGCTATATTTTGTAATTAATGGAGCTTTTTTGCCACATGCCAAAAAAAAAGTGCCCCTTTTTTAACAGTTGTTTTCTTTTGATAATTATTTTATGCAAAATAAGCTATAATTGCAATTGAAACCATGAAAAAAATGGTCGTCAATTTTGCCATTTTCCATCTCCTTTCATTAAGTAATCAAGGTTTTACATCAAGGTTTTATATGTCGATATATGGGGAAGTGTAACTTTTATGAAAATTTCGATAAAATGTGAAAATGTTAAAGGTACCCAAGGACATTTCTAAAGAAACCAATAAAGAAACCAAAAAAAAGAAAGAAAAAAAAAACCTATGAAAAATGGTCATATTAAAAAATAATCATTTTCTTCTTATGAAATAATTAAGGTAAAAAATTTCATTATTAATATTATGTCCATCATCTTAGTTATATTTATAGGCATGTGGATTGGCGACAGTGAACTCATGATTAAATGTATAGAATGTAGATGAAAAATGTTGAAATGGTGACAAAATTTTAAGAGTGTCAAAACATAAATTTAAAAATATGGATTCAATAAAAAAAAATATGGTTGTATTCAGATTAAAAAAAAGACTTTTATTGTTATGTTTGTAGTATTTTCAAATATGTACATGCTACTAGATTTGAAATTGAATCTCAATTTAAAAAATTATCGAGGAAAAGGTGAGAATACATTTATATACTAGTAGTAGTTATATTTAACTTCCTCTAAAATAATATTAACTAATTTATTAATATTTTTCTTATAAATTTTGTATAATTATTATTTTACGATGGTGTATAATTTATAATATATTATATTTTACCTACTTTAGTTTTAACAAAAATAGAATAATGAAATGTGAGTTTATAACAAAAATAATATTAATTAATTTATTAACATTTTTTTATAAAATAAAAGTTTTTTTTTTATCTCTTTTTAATGTAATTATGTAGTTTAAAGTTTCAAATTTTGAAAACACTACAAACAACACAATATTGTTTTAAGAATCTCCACTTTTAAATCACATAATCCAAAAACGGTTTTAAAAAATGAATTTGTCAAATGTTGTTAAACGCATATTGACTGAATCATTTGATTCAATAAATTTCAAAACAAGAAATAGATTCCCTGTTTGATCAAGAATTGACCAAGCTCAGTCGAAACCAAGTCGACACGAACTGGGCTTGCACGGGGTCGGGAATCATGAACCTTCATGCCGAGCCCAACCGGCCTGGGTCACTGGACCCCAACCCGCTTACCTCTCTCCGGGTCCGCTCCTTCTTCGTCTCACTCTCATCTTTTCGGTTGTTTAGCCTGATCTCTATTTTCTCCCTATAACAGTTTTATTTACACGCAAAGAACCCGACAAGGTCCATGACAAGACCTCAACGACTCTCTAAGGTTGTCGTGATCAAGTGCGGCGTGCTGTCGTGGAAGTTGTCTGAGAATGGGCTGAATCGAAGTAGTCCAAGGTGTATATTTGGTCGGCTCGGCTGCAAAGCATGCTCGGCTCGACATGAAGGTTCATGATCGAGGTGAATGCCCTTGTGCTAATGACACGTGTATGGCTGAAGATCCAACCGTAGCAGACCACATGTTGGTTGAGAATTCACCACTAACAATTCCGATTACCAATACTAAAATTTTTATTATTACTATAGTAATAGAAATTTTACTATTACCAAGCAATCAAACCCTTGATATCTCGTTATATGGACTTAATGTTGGAATCCCCGCACCACATTATTGATTTTCTTTTTTTTTTACCATATAATTGAATTTAGAAAAAGAGAGGAAAAAAAAACTGATAGTGTAATTAAGCAACTGAGCGGCGTGTCTTGCATCCCTCCGCCGACGCATTTAATATCTCTTATCTACAAAAACTATTTGAAAATTAATGAAATGCATTCAATGAAGCAAAATCAAAACCACAATCTTCAAGATTTTTCCTCAAAACTCCATTTTTTTACTACACTGCGGGGATCGAACTCACCACTTTTTTTTATCATAGATATATACCAATTAACATTGACCGTTCTGGAATCGTAATTAATCTCTCCATATATATGAACTTAAATCTCATTCTCATCAACATTTCTTCACAAATCACACCAAAAAAAAGAAAACCTTTCTCCTCCAGCCATGCCTTTGCCTTCTTTTACTTCTCCCACTCCCCATTTCTTCAAAGTCATTCTCCATCGCACTCTCAAGCAACAAAAACTCGTAAGCAAAATAATCTCCTTCTCTTTGTCTTTCTCTTCATTTTGGGTCTAAAATGCTTTTTCCATTTTTGTTGTTTAGGAGATCCCAAAAAAGTTTGTGAGAGAATATAATGGCGTGCTCGTGCAAGCCTTGTTGAGCAGCAAAATGTGTCTTAAGGTTGCTGATGGCCGAGAGTGGAATTTGGGTTTGGCCAAAAGTAATGGAAGGGTTTGGTTTTCTGATGGATGGCAAAAGTTTGCAGAGTTTTACTCTCTTGGATTCGGACACTTTCTAGTGTTTCGATATGAAAGTCAATCTTCCAGCTTTCACGTCGTCGTCTTCGATATCAGTGCTACGGAAATCGAGTATCCTGCGAAGAGTATTCGTCTCGATAAGGTTGAGGAAATGGTGAAGATAGAATCTGGTGGGGATAATATTGATCATATGGTTATTTGGCTAGACGGTTTGTTTCTTTGTTTTTCAGCGTTAATTTTGAAGAATTTTGAAGTATCTGTTTCTAAACTAAGATTTGAACTTTATTTTAAAATGTCTCATTCTATTTTCAAAACCAAATCCCAGATTTCAAAGTTGGCCAAGACAGCTTCGCTATCGAAAAACCGATGAACGGCGAGGATCGGCGCTGGATGAAGCTGCCATCGACGGCGAGCCAGCGAGAAAGAGCAATGGCCAAAGCAACTGACTTCCAATCCACAACTCTAAATCCTTGTTTCATGTGCAAGATCTCGCATTCGCATGTCTATCCAGGAAAATCTCTGGTAAGTCAAGCGCTTCTTCTACGAGCACTTTAGAAAAAAGTGCTTTTAGTAGATTAAAAGTCATTGCAAATTCACTTGTGTCGTTTTCTCGTTGTCAAAGCACGTACCGAAAAGCTTTGCTGAGATGCATCTGAAGCTAGAGGGGCCTGTAGAGTTGAATCTTGAGGTTCCAGATGGAAGGATTTGGAATGCTCGTTGTAGTTTCTATGGGGCGACTCATAGAATTCGAAGGAGAACAATGTTGGGAAGTGGTTGGAAGAGATTTGCTCGAGACAATAGCTTGCAAGTCGGCGATGTCTGCGTTTTTGAGATGATGAGAAAGAACAGTAGAAGAATCTCGCTCAAAGTTTACATTTTTCAAGCTTCTTGATCAAAAGCAACATCGGTGGAAAAAAAAAAGACAAACTTTTAATGTTTAGGAGATTAGTTTTGGGTTTATATGATGAATTATAGGGTATGTTCTTGTTTTGTTATGTTGGATGTTGTTTTACCTCTTGAAGATTTGTCATGATTTTGTGGTTGTGTTTTCTAATCTTTTATCTCAAACCACACCTGTTTCAATGCAAATTTTTTTATTTATATATGAACTAAAATTGATAATGCAATGAGAACATAAGAATACAAACAAAAGTTGAAAAAGTACTATCTAATTGAACGCAAACAAACATTCAATCTATAGGTTATAGGCTACATCAAAACACTAATCAAGAAAATAAAATTTAGCAATCCATAGTTACAATGTTCCTAAGACTTAATTCCAAACAAATTCATGTTTGAACAAGGAAAAGAATAAAACAGTTACTACCATAAACAGAACCAGCACTGAAATTCTAGCCTTCATAATCCCAAGCTTTAAAAATATCTTTGATTTACTTCCTTTTCATTCTCAAGAACTCGATGGAAGAAGAACAATATCTAAGTACTAACTTACTGGCGACCAGTATCTATCTCTATGCTAACCACCAATAAAAATTCCTGCACTTTTCTCTCTGACCTACTACTTGTCAGAAATTTAATGGTGGTCAGTAAAAGATAGGTATTGGTCAGTAAATACCTAAACATTTTTCATCGAAAAATGGTAACTTTGAAGGATAATTTAGGACCTTTGATTAACTCGAAAACACAAATATGGCCTTCTTCCAAGTTATTTTCTCTAGCAAATGCCTTCCAACCAGCCCTCATTTCAACCTTACTACACACATTTCCAGAAGGTCGTACACCACACCAAATCTTCCAAACCCTTCCATCTGAAACCTTAAGATTGATCTCTTGGGACTTCTTCACATGAATATGTGCAAAGCTTTTTGGAATGATCTGCAAAGTTAAAAAGGAAAAAAAATTTATAATACAGAGCAAAAGAAAATTCCAATTCGAAAATAGCTAATTAAAATCGTCCCTATTACTCTCTCAAATGTGGATGGTTCGATCCTGATCATTTGCCAGTGTGAATGTATGAAGGCCCCATTGTGACCATAAAAGAAGGATTTGGAGTCATTGATTGGAATGTTGAAGCTTTCTCAATAACTCTTGCTTGATCAATTGGCTGCTTCTTCCTCCAACCATTCTCACACTTTATGATTTTATGGCCAGCTTTGAAATAATCTGCCATTATGAGCTCCACCTCCTTTAATTTATATGTTTTTTTTTCTTTTTAAAGAAATATATGGTTGATTTAAATTTAATGTTGAAGTAATGTTTTTACTTTCTTTTGGTTATAAATAGTTTAATTTGTGGTGTTTTAATCTCTAAACTTCTGCATAAAAATATATCCTACTCTTTCCTGTTAACTTTTTTGCTAAATATGTGTTTTTTTCATAATTTTTGGGTGTTTTCTTTCCTTTTAGTGCCTTATGATTTAAATGCTTTATACTTTATTGTGTGGGTATGTTATATATATATATATATATATATATTAAATCTTTACAAATATGGATTATTTGTAAACTGATCAGTAACATCTAAATATTATTATTAATATAAATTTAAATTTATTTGAAATTTTTGATATTACAGGTGTGGTTTCAAATATTTATCAAATGAACACAAAATATCTATTGGTATTACGTTTCATTTAGAATAATTTTACTAAGGAATAAAATAATTTGTTCATTGACCTGTCGCTCACCAAGAGGTCATGAGTTCGAATTCTCCATCCTATTTATTGTACTATATAGTATATATATATATATATCTAAAATTAAGGCTCTCAAATGTAATAATTTATTTTTAAGTTGAGAAACACAAATTAGAACCAACATCAAAGTTTAGGATTTAAACCAAAATAGATTCTTGGGATTTTGTTTCGGAAATTAGTTGACTTCGATCATTATTCTCGATTAAAGATCTAAACTTTTAATTAATTAAGAAACCACTTTCAATGAAAATTTATTCTGAAACATTAAAGAGCTGTTATTTTCCATACCTCGAGACTCTATTTTCACAGTAGATAAGTCTTGGTTATTCTTTGGCTTTGAACTGTTGGCTTTACAAACTAGTGCTTCTTGTTCTTTACCTGTTGGCACAACTCATCAAAATCATATCTTCACTTTCACAGTCAACCATATTTTACGTTAAAGTCGTGGTTAAACTCGAAGTCTCGAAAGTTTAGAAATCAAAATAAGATTTAAACCTGAAATAGTTAGGTGAAAAATGAACAACAAAGACGAGCTAAAATAATTTTTTATACAAAATTGACTTGGCTAGAACATAAAAAAAAACATGAAACATTTGAAAATTAATTTAAAAGGTGTGTTTGGGAGGACTGAAGCATGATTTGAAATAAGTCATTTTCACTATAAACGTTTTCGAAAGAATTACTAATTTAGCAGGTGTTTAGGATAACTTCCCAAATAATTTTAAGTTAACTAAAAGAGATTTATAAAAAAATCGGCGAAAAATCAGATTTATGTTAAAAATATATTTGTAAGAAACAAAAGTGACAGACCAAAAATTAGTAATAAGAAAAAATTTATGGTCAGAAGAATAACTTCCAAGTTTGTTATTAGTACTTTTTTCTTTCAAAAGTAACAAAATGCATATTTAAAACATTTTTATTAAAAGTAGTTTAAATTCAGATATACCAAAATAAGATTTAACCCAAAAATGTATTTTGAAAATTATAATTCGAGTTCTTCTTTTATGAAAAGAAATGAAACCAATATTTTACCTTTGATCTTGGAGGATTGAAAGTCTCCATTCCTCAGCACTTCGTCATGATCACTACTAATTTTCATCTTCTTATGATGAGGCACAGAATACAAATTTGTTTTGAGTAATTTTCCCTTCTCTTCTTCTCTTGTAAACCAATATTTGATCTTCAAATTCTTCACTCTCACTTCTAATATCCCCAAAATCTTCCATTGGATATTCAATCTCTGAAGCACTTGGATCAAATATTGTAACATGGAAGCAAGCATTTGTTTCATATCTGAATGTTAAAAAGTAGCCAACTCCAATGGAATAAAACTCCACAAATTGTTGCCACCCTTTTTCAAACCATACTTTTCCATTACTTTTTTTCACTCCCACTTTCCACTCTGCCCCATTTGCCACCTTCAGACATACCTCCTCATTTTGCAAAGCTTCCCCATGTCTTAAAACAAATTTCTTTGGAACATTCTGAAAATAAATGAAAGATCAAAAAAGTTCAAAACTTTACAAAACCCACAAGAAAAAGCAAAAACAAAATGCAAATTATGTTCTTGGTGATCATGTTTGTACTTACTAGCTTTCTTTGGGTGAGGGTGTGAGCGAGAATGACCTTGAAAAAATGGGGCGTTACCGACATAAAG